CCTTTGTTCTAATGAGGCTTTGCCTCTTTAGTTGGGAAGGGAAGTTTCACTCCCAGGGACTTCTGCTTACATCACATTGGTCACAATCTGTCACATGGTCACCCCTAGCTGCAAGGGAAGCTGGGCATTTGATGAATTATTTTCCCAGCCTTTCTAGAGGAAGGTGATGGGAAAGAGTTTGGGATGGAAGCTGAGTGAGCTGACCTATAGTGTGTCTCACACATAAGGTCAGTGAAATCTTAGTCCTGAAAAGCAAGGGACAGGTGACTGGACTCCAGACAGGATCCTGAAGGAAGCTGATGTAGCCAAGTATCTGTTGATGATGAAAGCTCTTATGGTCCTAGAACTTCAGCTTTAAGGCAAGAAAGGAATGATTTCTCCAGAATCAGGCATGTCCGTTATTCAGTGCAAAGACCTGTGGTTCTGTGATTCCTCTTCTGTCCTCATTGGATGAGGAATAGGAGTTGGGCTGATTTCCCCAGGAGCGGTGGGAAGCACGGGCACAGACCTGCCACGGCTTAGGAAGTGTCCTACCTGTCAGTTTCTGACATCTCCAGGCCTGGCGGGCTCCACCCTATACCTACATTTGGTGCACAGGGATTGGTAACTGCTGGAAACTGAAGATGCAGCTGGGTGTAAGGGACAAACTTCACAAAATACTCAAGTATTTAAGTGTGGGTGGGAGCTAAAAGGTCACCCTGCCAATCAATGACTGAATGTTCTGTTGAGGAGGAAACACACAGGGACTATTTTCACCCTCCTGAAAACTATGATTAGAAAATTGAAGGAGAAGGTCAAGGCACTAAAAGAGAGCTGGCAGGAAGGAGGACTAAGCCCTCCTCAAAATGCCTGGTGAGTCCCTTCCAGAGCTTTGGGCCAGAACGTATGGGTAAGGGAACTGCTTGGGGATTCCCCATCATTCAAGAGCTCTTTGAGTGACCCCCTTTCAGCCCCTCCAGTAGGGAATTTCCCAGAATGTTCCCACACCCCCATGAAGCCTCCTCCTTAGCTGCCTCCAAGCTGCTTATGGTTCACGATAGGGGTGACATTAAATAACCTCACAGGTGAGGGTGAATTGGGAACATTAGCATCTGGATTTGCAAGAGATAGGAAAAGAGGGGAGACGGAACTGGAAAACGAACAGGACTAAGGCCTCACAGGAGATAATTATCAAGTATCCTAAGATTTAAACAGACTTCAAAGGCAAGAGATGATGGTAGGCACAGACTCTGAAGCCAGATTGCCTCAACTCAAGTCCTGGTGCTGCCCCTTATATGCTGCGTGACCTTGAACAAGTGACTTAATTTCTTTGTACCTTAAGTTTTCTTCTTCTGTGAAATGTGGGTGGTATTATCTACCACATTGGGTTGTCACAATTAAGTATAATAAAAACTAAAATACTTAGGAAAGTGATTGGCACATGGTAGCATTCAACAACTGTTAATGAAGCCAAGCGAGACTATTCTTTTAAAATGTTGTTTTCTACTAATCTTTCTCATATAAATGAGTTTATATCCCTTTGCCCACAACTCCACCCCTACCCAACAGGTAGGGAGGGGTTAGAAGCTCTAGTTTGCCAAAACACTCAGGTAGTCAATTTGGGATCTGAAATATCTTAGGCTTGGATAGAGTTTGGGGATCCTCTCATCTCGCGGTTTTCAACACTGACTGCACATTAGAACATTAGAATCCCCTGGGAGCCTTTAATAACCTACTGCCCAGGCTGTATCACAGACTGCTTAAATCAGAATGAGGCATCAGTATTGTTACAGCTCCACCAAGATTGAGAATCATTGTTTTGGTCCAGTCTTCCTGTTTTATAGTGAGGCAACTGGGGCTCAGAGAGGGAAAGCAAGTTACAGAGGGTTACCCAGCCAGGACCTCTGTCACCAGTTATCACTGATGGAACCCACGGCTGTTGTGTATTCTGGACCTTGCTCTGCACCTGGAGGAAGATCAGGCCTTGGGTCAGCCCTTGAACAGAGTAGCTGGACAAGGGATTCCCTTCCAACTCATGCAGCAGGCAGATGATCAACTCTGACTGGCAGAGTGTGACTGCCTCTGGGTTCTTGAGGTGTGTTCAAGGATCACCAAAACCAAGACCCAGTTTTCTCTTAGGAGGCTGTAGGGCAGCCAAGGACTCCTTTGTGGTCCCCAGAGACCTTAGGTCACTTGAATTGCCAGTCTCCCAGGAAAAGCAGTTGGGTGTGCTGGAAGGAGCACGGGCTGAGAAAGTGGAAGCTCAAAGCCATACCCTTCTCGGTCTCTACGTGGGGATGGGGCTTTGGCTCAATCACTCACAGATGCTAGACCTCTGAGAAAATAAGCATCTTGAGGAGAATTCCAAAGCCCTTTCTCCCAGCAGCTGCTCCCACCAGCCCGTAGTCATTTGGGGGAGTGGGTGAGACAGGTTTGTCCCAGGGTCTTGGGTGCCTCACTTGTAATGTGGGGAAACTGATAACAGCTGGCCTGTTACATCCATCTCAGAAGGTTATTGTAAGGAGTCTGAAAGACCGAGATGAATTCCAAAAAGCAGAAATCAGGTTAAGTGGAAAGCCCAAATGCAGGTCACCCTTCCCTCACTGTAGCAGAAGACATGTGTGCTAGGAGACAAAAATTTACTTCCCAAACGTTCCTGTCCTCTTCCCTCTCCCTGAGTTCTAGGCTTCCAGCCCACACTGGGAGGTTAGGGGATAGGATCATTGTACCTCTGAGCAAACAGTTGCTCTCATGGCCACCTTTGCCAGCTGTCACTGTGAGGCCCTTCCAGGGCATGACCACCCCACAGAGGGTCAGAGTGGACCAAGCAATGGCAGGTGGAGACACCGAGAGACGAGGCCCCCAGTCAGTCACTTCCTCCTGCAAGGGAAGTCAAACTCTTCTTCTTTAAGTGTCTGGCTGGCTGCATGACCCCTGGGCTAGCAGTGCTGGTTTCTCTGGGGCCCTAGCAGGAAGCAGTCTTGTTTTCCAAAGCAAAGACACGTTTCTTGTCACAGGTGGTTGTTTTCTGGGTAGAGGTGCAGTGGTTCTGAGACCCCTCCTAGAGCAGGGATCTGTAAGTCCGGGCAAGTAGGGAAAGGCAGCCAGAGAGAGCTCAGCAGAGCTTGCTCAGGGAGGAAGAACCTGCAGTCACTTCCCAAAAGCTGGGCCTGCCTCTCTGCAGAGAGAAGGTCAGGGCGGTTGGTCCCTGCAGCCCGCCTACCCCGCCCCTCCCTTCTGCCTTGGGGTTTGCCCAGACTCTTCAGAGCACAGAACTTACAGTAAATGTTGTCACCAGTGGAAACTCTCAGAGGGGGCGAGGAAAGGGCTAGAGGAAGGAGCTAGGGCTCCTGGCCCCAGTTCCCGTCTTACCAACAACCCCCCACTCCAAGCCTCGTGTGTGGCTTTGTCTTACCTTTCGGTAAAGAGGGGATGCCCTCCCTCTGGGATGTGCCCGGAAACAGCCAAATGGTAAGATGAATGAGCTAGCAACACCTTGCAGAAGAAGCAACCAGGGCCTCTGACTCTACCATTGTGGCTCTTGGTATCCCACCCACCCCCAGGCCCCATTTAGAGATGGGGGTTTCCTTTGTACTGACCGAAGCACATTTTCTAGCTCAGAGCCACATACAGGAAATGCCAGAGTGAATCTGACATGTTTGCATCTGGCTTTCACAAACGGATGGAAGCTGGCTTGATGGGTCCGGCTTCTCCACCACTTAAAAAGGAACCCCAGCTGCCGTGCCCCTTCTCCCACCCCCTGCATAGTCAGGGCAGTTGGCAATGTAACTACCTCTCTCAGCCTGCAGCTCATTTTCCTGATGGATTATTTAGGGCAAATTTTAAATGTCAGATTATCTTATCTCTGCCCACCATGATTTTGAGTCAGCTAGTAGTCTAGTAATTGATGTCATCAGTCAGCTAACCACTATTTGAGTTAATAAAATCTCTAGATTTCAGGAAGGGCCTAAAACTATATTTTTAACACGTCCTCAAATTAATTCTAATAATATGGCAGGTTTGGAAAGTGCTAAACTAAATTAAGCAGAACTAGGAAAATAAGACCTGGACTCCCAACTATTAGGTTGCGTTTTGAACTGAAACGTAATTTATTTGCTTCTACAGTGCCATTTTCTCTTCCTCTGTTGGCATCAATGATTAGCAGAGGTCTATTTGACTGACTCAAGAAATGCAAACCTTAAAATCACAGTGGAAGTACAGTTCCCCTGGGGCTTTCTGATGGTGAGATTGTTTTCCAGTAAATGCTAATTACCAGAGTGTAATTGTTGATTAATTAATGATGTGATCAGTAATCAGCACACTTTACCCAGAGTTTTCCTGATTAACATGTATCTGATGGGTCCCCTAGGCAACAAGGAAAGCTGTTTCTAGAGTAAAGGAAGCCTGTGTACTTGGAACCCACTCAGAAGGCTGCAAAACAGGTGAAATAGACAATTAACCATGGCCTCCATCTGTAAGAGTCAATGCAAACACAGGGAACAATGGGAAACATGGGTATAACATAGAATGGAAACGAGTGATATAGTATAAGATGTTCTCACAAACTCTTCTCCATTTTTTTCAGGCTCTGGCCTGCCAGCCAGTTTTCCTTGACATGTATCTTGCCACCCTCAAGCCACATATACGATCACAGAAACCCATGTACATATGCACCAAAGGAACCCACTCACATACACATTTACACACACATTCACCTTTATTAGGTGGGACCATATGAAATTGCCATTCCTGTTGGTCAAAACAGACAAATATCATCAATTTCAGATGATCCAACGTAATATCTATGCATACACATGCACACATATACAGGTACTTATATAGATGCACGCACACAAGACATACGCATGTGCACACTCACATATACAGGAAAATTTAGCAATGCCTTTCTCCATGGCTGTGCTAATGAAAACCTAATCTGGGTTCTTCCTGCTCCCTGCTCCTCCAATCTTGCACCTTCCCTGAAATTAATCTCCATCAATGCCGATCCTTCCCCCTCACAGGAAAGTGAAGACCTGGAGAAGCAGAATGCGGCTCTGCGTAAGGAGATCAAGCAGCTCACAGAAGAGATGAAGTACTTCACGTCAGTGCTGAGCAGCCACGAGCCCCTGTGCTCAGTGCTGACCAGCAGCACGCCCTCGCCCCCTGAGGTGGTGTACAGCACCCATGCCTTCCACCAGCCTCACGTCAGCTCCCCTCGCTTCCAGCCCTGAGCTGCCAGAAGTGGGGGAGAGCAGAACCCCCTACCCCCAGCTGCTCTGGCAGGCCTCAGGAGGGGCACACGGACTGTGGCCAGGCTGCCCTCGCCCCTCAGAGCCCTCTCTCCATCTGGAGACCCGGAGGTGGAGGCCTGGACAAGGATTGAGCACAGGACTGTAGCAGCTGGAAGTGTGCGAGGCCTCCCAGCAATGTGGCAGCATGTGCTGGACCGTGTGGGCGGGAGGCCCTATCCAGAGTTGGAGTGAGCATAATGCCCAAGTCCCATAGCACAGAGGGAGGAGGGCAGGGCAGGGTCATTTTTTAAAATAAATGTCTTAAAAGAAACCAATCTGGCAAGGCCATTTCCTTTTATACTGTCTATTGAAACCCTAAATTCTGTGGATTTGGGACCTGCTTTTGTTCTTGGTCTCAAGAGCCCTAAAAGCCCCGGAGACTCTGCTAATATCTTTTTTTCCATGGTTTGTTAATCTCCTGGGAAGCAGGACTTTTCCAAAGCATCTTCAATCTTCCCTCTAGGCATCCTGGTTTTCCTCCTCAGGTCACCTGAGCATGACTTCCCACCTTCCTCACTGCCTCGTGCTTTCTAGAATTGTCAGCGGCTCATCCTCTAGGAGGGAGAAGGACCAGTGCCAGATGCCATTTGGGGGAATGGTCATTCAGGTTGGCCCTATCATCTCAGACAGGACTCACACAGCTACCCTTACGCTGCCCCAGATGACGGGCCAGCCAGGCCCTGTGCAATTTGTCCCAGGAATAGAAGGGCAGCACCTCACATGGAAGGCAGTGCTCTCCTCATGAGGCAGCAGGTGGCTTAGGTACACATGGGCCATTGGGTCCACGTGTCCTGCCGAAGACTCCGCCTCCCTCGGGAAGATGTAATGAAGCACAACTCGGCCTGTCACCATGAGGCTCCATGGGCTGCCGTTTTTGAGCACACTGTGGGGGCAGCGGTGGCTCAGGTAAAACAGGGTTCTTTCTCTTCAGGGCTTCAAATTCTCCAGTTTGGGCAGAGCTGGAAACCAGGGTGTTCCTGTTCCCCTGCTCTGATGTCCACCTGCTCCCCAGAGATTCCAGGTCGTATGCCCACTGGCTTGCATGCCACAGCTTTATCTACACCACTGTGCAGGAGCAGCGGCAGGGCCTGTCCACATGCACAGCCCCTGCTGAGCCAGCTGGGGACACAAAAGACAGGAATCACCTTGGGCGCATCTGATTCAGGCCTTCAGCAGCCACCCTGTCTCATCCTGTGGTCATCCAGAAGGACTACCCTTGCCTGCTGCCTCCCTGCTGGCACCCATCTTGGGATACGGGGACCAAGGGGGAAAGAGAGGAGCAGGCCCACTTCCCGGTACCAGCACCTCCCCAACCTGCTGGCCGATAGCTCTGATTGGTTTGAGGCTAGGTTTCAACTCTGGGCCTCCCCGTGCAAGCCTCTCTACCCGCCGGGCTTATGCCGGTGATAGGCTAGTGTGACTGCTGAGCTCTGCCAGGGCCTGGAAAAGCTGTGTCCTGGCATGTGGTCACTTGACCTCCTTGCTTGTAGCCTATGTAGGGGAGGAGTCCAACCCAAGGGCCTCTGAAGGCTCATGACCACCGCTGGGCCCTGCATCCCTGACCAAGGCCCATGGATGCCCAGAGTGGAGGAACTGGGCTCAGAGCCTGCTGGAGGCAGGCCACTATCTGCACGGCTGCCAAGGCACTATCCGACATTTCAACCCAGGTTCTCCCCAAACCCTTGGTAAATGGGGTTGCTCTTCCAGTGCACGGACCCGGTGTGGACTGGGCTGTGTGATAGGGGCTGTGGCAAGGATCTCTCTCATCAGTTTCCTTCAGGGCCTGGCTTTGGAGCTAGTGCTCTGAGTGGCTCTTCCCTACCCAGAGCAAAGAAGCCAGTGGGTGCTTCAGATGCTGCACATGTTGAGCAGAATTTGTTTTCCTTGCACAGTCTGAAGAGGCAGAACTTTGGGCCCTGCTTTCTCTATTGCTAGCTCTGCCAGGGCCTGGCCTCTCGTAGGAGGCCAGGACAGGCTTCCTTCCAATCTCAGAGTTTTCTTCTCACCCCTACTGCTGTGATTTTCCCCCAGAAACCCCCGCAGAAGGCACATGACCTGTGCTGGGCATCTCTTGAATGACAGTCAGTTCTGAACTAGAAATGCAGAGCTCACGTGCACAGTCCCCCTCTCTCAGCAAGGACTTCTCTTCCCCTTTCTTCCTCCACTTTCTAGTGACCCCGGGCAGTTCCACTTCTCCTTTCTGATCAGTCTGGTAGAAGCAGCACAAGGCTGAGCCTATGATTGAGAGCCAATGCCGACTTCATCTCTACATAGGGCAATTGGAGGGGCAGCTGCGATCTGAACTTCCAGAGCTGTGACCATGGATGTCCCACCAAACAGGTTCTATCCCACGCTCTTACCCATGACAGAGATAGCTCTCTCAGGCTCTAGGTCACTGACCCACACTCAAATGTCTCCAAGGCCCAGGCAGGTACTGTAAATACGGGGAGCTCACCGGACCTGGGACAATTGGGAGTGGTAGGGAGTGTGGCAAACTGAGGAGTGAGTGCTTACCTGCCTGAAGCAGACAGCTGCTCCTCAGTTTTGACCTATGCTGACGTGTGGGAATTCAGGCCCAGTGCTGCCATATCTTCCAATTTGTTAAGAAAAGCTCAGATTAGAATTTCTATCAGAAATCACCCAATTTCTAAAACACGCTGCAGACCCAAAAAATACAGTTGTGGAGCAGGTTTGTCCCTAACAATTACAGGGCTTGGGGTAAGAGTACAAACAGAGGCATGCACCATATGTCTAAATAGTTACACATTATAACTCAAACTTATAAACTATGTTAAACAAAATACATTTTTTTCTTTTACCTCAACAAATACATCTTTGTAACAACCTGGTGGGTGAAGTTTGAAGTTAGATTTCCTAGGCATTTGGGAACTTTGTACGAACACCAGGTTGCACAGTGACAACAGTACCCGGACTGCAGCCTGTCGGCTCCTTGTCCCTCACTGGGCTCCTCCTTAGCAGCCTCGTGTTCATTTGGTAGGCATATCAGCCTTGGGCTCCATCCACACCTCTCCCACACAGACAGCCATCCTGTGGCTACCCTCCAGGTCCGGGGTACACATAACAGTGGCCTTGTCTACCCTGGAGAGGAGGTATCTGAGGAAGAGGCCCACGTGCACGTGAGCTCTTGCGAGCCAGCTTGGATTACACAGGCAGGGGATTCTGGTGCCCTGGGTGTGTGCAACGCAGCTTACGAGGGCACAGAGGGCTCTGAGTAGGCATGCCCCTTGGTCCTACGGATTCCTTGCCCCATGGGAAGGGGTGTAGCAAGAGGAGAGCCAGTGCCATCCCTGTGATGTGGGGAGTCGAGAGCAGGGACCTCTTTTGTCTGTGTCTGAGAGTGGCACTGCAGAGCTACCAGTTTGTGACTCTTATCAAGGTCCGTGGTGTCTCCCCAGAAAGCCCAGGATGTAGGAGGGCTTCACGCAGCAACAGATGGGCACTCGACAGCATCATCATCATCTGCTGTGTTGACACACGAGTTCCTGGAGAATGTTTGTTGCCCCACCTGCCATCCACAGTATTTATCTCTTACTAGCAGTGTTATTCTCTGAGTTAGTATCAAAGCAAATTACGGGAAAGCCAGATTTTTAGGGTCAGGGTTGAGAAGTGTGGGTGGGGAAAGAGAGGGAAGCAAAGTCAACCCAAAGGTCATGGGGTTGCCATCTGCTGGACCCAAACGTACCAGCAATGTTTACTGATACCTCCAGTCATGTTCCAGCGTGGCTGCGGCTTTACAGTGAAGGAGGCGAACCAGCTGAGTGCCCCACTTCTTTTTGGGGCAGATGGGCTGTCTCTCCCTGCTGCCCTGGCCTCCTTCCCCCTCTCAGGTGTCCACACCCAAAAGCCTCTAAGAAAGTCCAAGGGGGTGAAAGGGCTAATGAGCTAAGAGCAACACTAAGGTGGTGGATTTAATCACCTTATTTCTCAGAGGGCACCGGCATTTCGAGAGGCAGCGAGGAAGAGAAATTCCTGACCCAAAGAAATGAGGGCCTAGTATTGGCATTGTAGGCTCTGTAGCAAGCATGTAGAAGGGATATTGAATGTTAATTCTTGCCCTTAAGCTTTCGGTAAGCTACTGGCTACTGTACAGGCCTTGAGTGGTACCAGGGGAATGAGAAGTAGGTGTGGGAGAGCAGCAGGGACATAGCCTTCTAAAAATCATGTTGTTTTCAGCTGCTTGGTATGTAATTTGAGTTACTCTACTTCCAGGAAGATAGGATAAAAACTTGCTCCTGGTTTAAAGAATCTACCAGCAGAGAGAGATAAGGAGCTCTCTCTTAGGGGAATTCACTAGGGAAATTCCATCGCTGCCTGGGAGGTTTATCTGCTCCTTCTGGAAGGTTCCTGAGAGACTGATGACCTTGTCACTGTACCTAGAAACTAAAGTTAGCAACAGTGGCAGAGACTGACAAATGACCTCTCAAAGCCATTTTTCCCTTTTCCCGAATTACAGAACCCTCATTTTGTCTAGCATGGCAATGTGCCCAGCTAAAAAGATCACATTTCCCAGAGTGTTTTGCAGCTAGGGAGGACCACATAACACAGGGTACTGAGAAACAAGCAGAAATTGCTGGTAGGGCTTATGGGAAAGCACTTTAAAAAGTGGGGCCATCTCTGTTGGCACATGTCTCTCTCCTTTCTGTCTGGAAGGTAGATTGCAATGTAGGAGATAGGACAACCGTTTGAGGACCATGAGTCATCAGAAGTAAGATAAGAGATTCTGGGTGCCTGATGATACTGTAGAAATGTGATGATACAGGCTCAGAAGGTCTGCCTCTGGGTTTCTTTTAGGTGAAATTGGAAACAAGTTTATTTTGTTAAGCTACCATGAGTAGCACAATTAAGTACTGCTTACCTAACTCTGTCTAAGGAGTCAAGAGAACAACCAAACCACTCTCCTAGTGATTCCCAACTGGGAGTGATTTTGTCTCTCCAGGGAAGTCTGGCAATATCTGTGGACATTTTTGGTCATTACAACTTGGGAGATGTATGCTACTGGCATTTAGCAGATAGAGGTCAGGGATGGTGGTGTACAGCCTGCCTTGCACAAGGACAGACTCCACAATGAAGAATTATCCAGCCCCAAGTGTCAGCCCTGCTGCTTCTAGAGCACTAGACCTCAGCCTACTAATCTTCTCTGGCACCCTTGTCCATCCCTCCTCTCTTAGAAACAAACTCTGGGTATTGGCCAGGCTGGACAATTCATGTCCTTGGCCCTAGCTTACATTTTCCTTTCCCCAAGCCTTTGCT